GGCGTAAGCCTGGCCGTAGCGGGCCTCACCCTCGTACGTGACGTCAGCGACGTAGCCAGAGTAGGCATCAGCGACGTTGTAGGCCACCTTCTGGGTACGACCGTCGGGAAGGACAAAAGAGTAAGAGCCCTGGGTACTGTAGCCATCACGGCCCTCTTGAGCGTTGAACTGGGGCTCGTAGTCCCCGTAGCCGTGGACGTCGTAGTTGAAGTGGTACTTGGGCGGCTGGTCGTAGCTCTGCTGGTGGGCCGGAGCGTAGCTGGGCTGGCGGTGAGCCGGAGCGGGGGCGTAGCTTGTCTGATGGTGGGCCGGGGCCCTGTAGCCTGGGGCGTTGTCGGCGGTGGCAACGGCCAGAACAGCGACGACCAAGAAGACCTGAAAACGCGACGCATGTTTTATAGCGCTGACTGTCGTTAAACATGCGTAGTTACCTACTGTGTTAAAACGTTTGCTTTATCGATGACAGACGTGCCATCATGTACGAAATGCTAAGTATTGCCAGTGATCTTTTCCTGAGTACGTCTGCAGACGGTACACCAAGACCGCTGTTTCGTCGATGTCCGTTAGAACTACTGCTTCCCCTTAGAGCACACTGTCGACATAATGCGCAGCACTATTGTAGACCATAACGATCTGGCAAAGAAAGTGCTTTCTTTTAGAGTATGGTGGAAAACACTTATTTGGTCCCTTCCATCGAACACACATTGAAGACAATGACTTTTGTTTCACATGCGTCGTGGAAACTTTATGACCTATTCTCTGCTCCACCTTCTGAACACTTGCCTTCATGTTGTGCCGTAGTGTGTGTAGGACCAAGTGATACCAAACGTGGTGGTGTCTCACATTTTATACCACTGCTGGCGGCTGAACGGTCGGCTCGGCTTGTGGGATTACGTACAGGAGAGGGTGTGAGCAATGGGCGTGGCGTTTGAACTCAGCTCCGGAGACCAGGGACGCACGATAGGGGTCAGAGTGACCTGTGGTCACCGTGCGACACGCGGAGTTAGGAATAACCGCCGGTGGCGGTTGTTTATCCCGACTTAAAATGGTGATCGTGTCTGGTAATTATCTTGGGTGACGGGTTTGCCGCACGTTTTCGTCAAGGTCTTTTGGCCGGCTGGTCAACACACAAAGGTCTTGGAATTCTCGTAGTGGGCTTGCATCCTTTTTTTCGTTGACTGCATGTTTTACTGCTGTCTCATGACCTGCATGTCAGTCGTTGGACCAGGCGTAGACAAAGCTGTGATTAGAAAAGTGGTAAGTAACGATGGCGACATTCATGCCACACCGGCCACAAAAGTGGAATTCGGGGAATTTCTGCCCGGCGTCTTAGAATTTCTTCCAAATTTGTATGCATTTAGACCTCATATGGCAATAGCATGTGAGGATGTTACCATGTGCGGCGTCTGAAGCCAAGCTCAAAGGACATTGACCTTTGACGATCACACAGGTACGTTGGTTTCAAGTTTGAAATAATTCTAGGATTGGTAATCGGACAGGTTATTCTGTGTTGGCCTATTGTGCTCAATTGTCACAGATTGCAATACAACACGCCGAAATTAGCAGTGACCACATTTCAGCATTTTACTTGTGGTGGTGACATTCGGAACTTACACTTTAGCTTCGTTTCGTAATTCGAATTTTGTTTAAAAGTGCCACCATACCTATTTTGCACGGTCCTAAATACACACACCGGAAAGGCAACATTCTCCAAAATATTTGCCCACAGCCCAGTCTGCCTACCCAGCAAGGTATCCAGCCCGCAAAAGCCCGCCCTACCACAATGTTGAGTCGGCATTAACCCGCGTATACGCTAAAATTGTTATATACGCTATGTCATTTCTCCCTAATTTTAACCCCATACATATTGTGCCTAAGATATCATGTCAGTGTCATCTCCTGCAAAGCGTTCTTTGGCTAGCATCATTGTTTCAAGGCAGTGATCCAAATACCTGAGCTATAAAATTTAGATTGTAACAAGGTAGACCTTAAGTGCCCTTATGCCACATTTCAACTACAAATGAGAAGGAAGAGAGTATAATTTAAAATGGCTGGTAGCTAAGATATGTCTGATACTTCACTGTCCCACCACATCTCAGTAGACCGCAGGCCCTGTGTTGTAAAGTTGCATGCATCATCCGATGCTCTGCACTGACAGAGTAAAATGTGCCGGATGTTTCAAAGGCATAAGAAGTGTTCGCAGATCCCTACATTGTGCGTAAGCACATACACCATTTGAAGGCGCTACAATCGCTGCTGTGTAATAACCTGTGTTCAAAAACCAGACGCGAGCTCTTATGCGTCGTTTGCTGTACTTTAGTGGATACATTATGCAGCGACACGGAATATACAGCGCACGACAGTTTTCAAATTGTTCACACAAGTCTCTAGTTACTGAGTCACTGAAGTCACTGAAATCCTGTTATTCCACTGGCTATGCGGTGATCAAGGCGAAGACAAACCATAAGTATCTAGTCGTTAATATCTGACTTTCGTGAATACGATTTCCAGTCATGACGGCCTGTAATCACTACGGTTGGCACTCACTGGCCCACTTTCCTTTCTTGAGGAAAACGAAGTACTGGTGACCGTTATATGCAGCATTTGCAACGATCGCAAGCGATGGTGGTATAGTGGTGAGCATAGCTGCCTTCCAAGCAGTTGACCCGGGATCGATTCCCGGCCATCGCACACATGGTTTTGAGCCAAGACGACATCGCGTCTCACACCCGGCACGCGCACAGCTCGAAGCCCAGCACACTGCTCACTCGTGTGTGGTCACCGCGCAAGCGGTGAGAGGGAGGTGCGTGGTTAACGCACTATCAACCCAACATCGCCCCAGTCTTTGGTCTTTCTTATATCGCCCACATCGGCATTCAGACATGTCACATGACCATCTTTCTTATGTACTGGTATATTTCGCACGTAAACGTCCCAACATGCAGGCGGCCGTTGCTCCCGCTTAGCCAACACTCCGGGAGCCCCGAGGTGTCTGCCGACCGGCCTTCCAGTCGCGCGCAACACGAACCGACGCCGGCACAAGGCGTGATCGACGGACCTCCTCCGAGACGATCGCCACCACCCCGCGACACCAGGTGCACGAGCTCATCTCGTTATCGTCAGCGAAAATGCAGAGGTATGACTCCAGGGGCGGGGAATACTGAGGGAGCGGTGGTGTGCGGTGCACGGACCTTTCCAAAGGCGCGCCTACGCCCCCGCACAGCATCCCACTCCTACGCAGGAGGTGGAATAGATAGTAAAACGGTGTCATTTTACGTAGGAGGGTAAAGCAAAACTAAAACAAGCAAACAGGCTACGAAGCGTCGCGCACATAAGGCTGTGTAGGGAAGACGTCTTTTAAAACTGCTGACAGCTTGTCGAGCGTGTAAGCGATGTAGTTCGAGAGCCACGAGCTGCGAGCGCGTCACACAGCCACAACACTGACTTGGTGGATAGATGGGGAGATACCCAGGAATATGCGTTGATAGATAGGTACCGTGTATTTATGCACTAAGCGGTGGAATCTAAATACATCAGGTTGCAAACAGTATCATAAAACCGGGAGATGAGTCGGGCAGAGCGGGAGCGAGGAGGGGGTGCATATGCCATGGCAGTTCAGTCAATGTGGCTTGGTACCTTACCCCCCACCAACGAGGTATCTACCTTGCGCTAGGCACCTTGTTAGTGGGTAGGTACCTAGCCGCATGGTACTAAAATTCGAACATGATTCCCCCATTATGTGCCCAATATTTTGCCAATGTGATATTAACTGAGTAATGCATTTCAAGTATGCAATTCCTCGTTTTCGTCGAATTAGTCGTAGTATGCTTGTGGTTGAATGTTCAATTACAACCAGCGAACTGTTGGGGGCGGGAGGGGGCGGCATGACCATTCCCTATCCTCTCCTAGGCGGGTGCTGACCCTCTCGCACGAGGTTATCTACCGTGTTCCAATTACTTTGTTCAGACAACTCTGGGATTTGTCAACGCATAACTTCTTCCAAAGGGGCAGAGCAGCGACCGTAATGCCTAAGCCCCTAATGAATATGATGCCTAATATAACAATATATATATATATATATATATATATATATATATAACGCCTAGGCACCTAATAAAAGATAAGATAAAAGACCCAGGGGTACCATTTTATTTAGATCCGACATGTGTCTCAGTAATGGATTTTACAAATGAGTTACGTCCTGCACTTACTTTATTTCCACTCGGCATACATCACAATATTGTTGGCTTTTTATGCAACACGGGATGCTTCATACACTTTTCAACTAGATAAAAAACGCAAGCTTCGCACGCGGTGCTATTGTTTTCGTTGTACATTTGGCTAGGTTCTACCGCTCGGGTACCAACTGGTGTTGAATGCAGATGTTAGTTGGTTATTGCGGTACAAAAAACAACAAATGGGACGCTCAAGGCAGTTGTTGAACCTAATTTGCCACAACAAAAGGCTGTCTGTTGTTTTCAATGAGCATAATCGACCATCGCAAAAATAAAAAAGATGTTTGTTTGCAGCACGACAGCATCTGGTACTTCTCATAAACAACAGCCGATTTTGAGTCCAAAAAGTCGTCACCAGTGAAATTCAAGTCGGGTGTCAGGACCGTTTGTAAAGCTCAGTAAGGGGAGGACTTTTTCGGTTGGATTTTTTTGGCAAGGAGCGGACGATACTTTAAAAAAATAGCTTCAGTCCCAACTATCTATTTTCCTACTATCTCCGTTGCCACCTGTCAACGAGGGCCGCTTGCAATTCCTGCTCGGATTCCTCTTCTGTCGCAGCACAGCGCGCCACCGCCATCGTTTTCGCCGACGGGCGCCACCATCTCCGCATTGGCTGCCACCAAAGACCTTAGCTTGACCTATCGACTTAAAGGTCGGTCACCGATTGCTGACTTTTCAAGCGACCGGCTCCATCCGTCAGTAACGTCACTCAGGCGGGCTGCAGAGGCCAGCCTCGTACCCGCTGTGCCTCAGTTAGCTGTCAGGTTCTCGCTTGGCAACACCATGGGTCATTTTCGATGCATCGCTGGCCTGCTGCTGCTGCTTTGCTACATCGGGCAGCTGGAGTCGTCTGGTAAGCTAAAGGGCATGGGGGATGCTGAGGGACGTAGGTGCTGTTGTGTGCGAACACGCTCCGCTCCGGGCTGCTTTAAACGCGCCGTGCTGACTGGAACTCTCCCAGCATAAAAAAGCCATCACAAGGGAGCTCGTGAACCGAGCTAAGCGTAACGTCAGCTCAACAAAAATTGTGTATATTCATTGGCCCTGCCCAGCCTGGCGAACCGCCCGTATGATGTATTATGTGCTTAATTCGTTGCAACTGGTGATTGCACTACCATGTTACATTCAGGAACAAATGGCGTGACACCTTAACAAGCGGCACCGAATTGCTTACTTAAGTGTATGCCCGGAAACGATTCAGCTGCGCACGTTTGCACCAGGAACCACTTCAGGTACTTCGTATGTGGTCATGACTGGGATGGCCCGCGGCCGGTGACAGCGGCCGTGCTTAAAGGTCAGGTTCCGCCAGAGGGCAGAGCAAACCGCGCCGAGCATTGTGACACGTACACTTTGGCCATCAAATTCTGCCGAAGACCTGAAATTTTACGATCAAATGATGGAGCACAAGGCTCGTGCAACAAGCATTGCTTAACGTGGGATCTGATCTTAGAAATTAATTCATTCAATAGGCTCTTCACTAGGCTCTTCGCTAGGCTCTCTTAAAAAACACTGAAAAGTTATGCCTTTCTGTGGAAAACACATATTTTATTAGGAGACATCTTCATACGTTTTGAGGTATTACTTTTCACGACCAACGTGCATTTTAGAGACGAGTTTCGACGCTCAATTTCTGGCACACACAATATCTTTAAGGCGCAGTGAGACCGGCGAGTACGTAAAAAGCGTTACCTGAACTGCGAATACATGTTCACTTGAATATGTAAAACTGGGACCATATCAACGTCCAGGTAGTCGATTCGACGAATCAACGTCGATTTCCAGGTAGGCGTTGCTCTTCACTGTGATGGTTGGGTTAAACCAATGGATATCGCTCCTCTATGACTCAAATTCGGCACAGCACCTTTGTGTCGGATAGTGGGACCATTAACCATCAAAGGGCCCCACACTCCGTTTCGCCCCGGGACCTGATTTTGTTAAGTGATTCCTGTGTCATTTAGTAGACCCCTCGCGCCCGTAATAAATTATTGTGGGTCACTTAAGACTACTCCGAGCCGGACCAACTGCTCCCGTCAGAGGACGGCCTGGGTCATGAAGAAAATCAATGTGTCCTCAGAGCGGCCCGGAATCGATCAGAAGGCCCGGCGCCCGTGGCACCTGAATGCCGTACCATAAGTATTCTGTGGCCCCCAGCGTTTCACTCACGGCGCCGCCTGAACGAAACAAGCACGTGGTCTCCTCAGTGTTCATTCCATGGCCACCTCTGTGAACAGGTTCGTCAGAATAACTGGATGAAAACGAAGCAAAAGGAAAAATCGCAAAACGCTCAAAATTCCGGGACTCTTTCAACAGAGACTTTTCATAGACCTCTGTGTCACCCCTGCTGCACCAATATTCTAGGTGCGACCCTGGGCACGTGTACACGGATGACACAGAAACCGGCGCCGGTAGAAGCGGGAACGGCGAGAACGGTCAGCCTGACTGCGTGAACATGACTGGATGCATTGACACCAGCATCCCACTCAGTGTGGGTGATGTAAGTTAGGTTAGGTTTCCCGAATTTACACCACACTAATCGTTTGATGATGTAACACATTTCAAGGGTGGAAGGAAAAAAGGGTAGCTATTCCCAGCAAATTTGGCACGCAGTGTAGCTGTAACCAACGGAAACGGAACTATCTAGATCGTAATACGCACCGCGCAGGGCTGCGCGCTGCCCTCGCTGTATCAAGACTCCAGTGACGTCACGTCAACGCTGGGCCCATGAGGTGGATAAAAGCCGATCGCGCGTAATTTATATGCGTAGTTGGCAATACCGCCGATTGGCGGTGACAAATTACACACGGCGTCGAGTTTTGTAACTACGGTTCTACGTCACTCGCTGGTTTTATGAAACAGTTGTAATTTATACTTTGTAAACTGTAAATTACAGATAGTAAAATACAAACGGCCTGTACCAAATTTTTATGGGAAGGGTTATTAATCGCGATAGGCCACAAAGATCTGGAATCTACTGGGATTTAATCGTGAAATGTGTTAAACATATATGCTGGTAGCACAACTTCAATCGTTTATGTTGTGTCCAGATATTTCCCGTTAAAAAGGCTTTAACTAAAAGTACAGCATTGCTGTGTTCATCAGAAACTAATTAATTAAGGCTGCATTATTAAGTTCCCGGTGACATGTTGGTGTCTTGAAGTTTAAACCATGATATGCTCTTTCTTATTTTGACTACGCGGAAGACGTAGACCGGGCTTACCCGGCGAAAAAAAAATAGTGCATCGTGCCTGATTTTTTCCAGGGAAAAATTGTCATGCATCAACTCGCCTGACTGTGGAGGCGTTTGTTTCGTACCTTACCTTGTGTGAAACAAAACGCCTGCACCTAAGACTGTGCACAAATGGGACATCCACGTTTCATTAGATCCTTGTGTAGTTTCAGCAGTGGCACTAGTGAGCGAGTGTCGGTTCATATCGATCAATAATAATTTGGCGCTCCAATGTAGTCATGAGTTTTCAGGCATGGCAGGCAAGTATAATGTATGAGGTGATATTGTCGTTCCCGTTACTCATAAGGCGTACCACATGAGCACCGCCCTGCGCTTGTGAACTGGGTGCCGCTGACACGTGTCAGTTTGCGCGTGTAGGCATGTTGCACTTAACCTGGAGTCTGAAAATGTTAGCTAATGTACTCATGTGTCTAGGTTATTGAAACCAGGAGTAATTTTAGGCCCTGCGATGTGGTGGCACTTGTTAATTATTGGCCAAATAATTGTGATACGTTAAAAGTATAATGCGCCTTGTTTGTCCCGATGATATTTATGCAACACTGTATCCCTAGCGGACAACAAGCTGTGTTAAGTATCTTAGCATCCACTGGTGTATGGCAACTTAATATAATTTTTCTCCGTTGGAAATAAAAAAAAATCTTTTAAATTTAAGGTACTCAGATGAACCAAATTTGCCAATGAAATTTCAAAAGTCCTCAATGTGGAAGGAGATTGGCACAGATTCCTTTCATAAATATCAAGGAAAGCAGCCCGGACCGGATTTGATTGAAAAAACCGAATAAAGGGGATTGACGGACGGATTGGATCTGGACTAGCCGAACTAGACTGAAATGGGCCCCGGAAACTCAGTCCGTGAAGTGTTTTACTCGCCAAAAAGGCCTGTTTGTTGTTTGGGGTCTTTGTCACTCATGGAATCCCATTCTGATGTACTGGGGTCTTTTTTTAATCATTACTTTGATTTCCCGTGTATTTTTTCTTCAAAATATGACAGGATAAAGGGATCTGTGGGACTCAGCACCTGCTGTTTTTTACAAACTAGGCATGACACGGCTTTGATATCCAATGAGTGTATTGATCTTAACGGGACCTATTTTTGCCACCGATTGGTAGCAAAATTTAGGGCAACAATTGATCCCACTAAGCCACGTCATGTGCTAAGTTCTTCTCAACATCGCCCCGTTTCAGATGTATACGTCAATATCTACGTGGCCATGCCACGTGGCGAAATGAAGCCTAAACAGACGCATGCCATGTTTAAATTTGAACACATCAATGTGTTTATTTGTGTTTTTCGAATACATTGATAACATCTAGCGCCGTTAAGGTAACGGCGGCGTTTCTGCCGCACACCAGCGCTGCATTGGTCGGAGCCGCCCGCTGCTATTGAACATTAAGCAGAGATGCCGGGCAATGACTGCTTTTAAGAATAACAACCACGTGTCCGACTTTCAGAGCCCGTCTCGGCGCCTAAACGCATCAGGTGCGTGAAGTTGTGCCCGAAGGGTCAACGCTGCGAACTACGTCGCCGGTGCTACTATGGCTTCTGCCTCGGCTACCACCAGGTGTGCGTCAAGTCGCTAGCTCCCGCAAAGGAGCGTCCCCCCAGCTGCCAGAACGTCCGCTGCGGCCGTCTGCAGACCTGCGTGCTGCAGCAGGTCATTTGTTTCCGCGCGCCATGCTACCCCGTGCCGGTCTGTATTCCCGATCGGTGCGCTACGGTCCGATGCGGAACTGGCACAGTCTGTGTGACAGTGAGAAGGCATGACTCGCGACCCGCTTGCAAAGACTTCCCCAGATGCCAGTTCACTGTCAAATGTGTGCCACGGGCCAAGCCCAAGCCCGGCTTCTGTCCGCCGCCGGAGCAGGTGTCCCAGGCCAACGTCAACCTCTGCCAGTATGACAACGACTGCGCATCCAACCTGCTCTGCTGTCCGGGCGCATCCAGAGGGGGACTCAACTGCACCGCCCCCGCCTTCCCCGACCCGTGCGCCAACAAGAAGTGCCCCCCGCATGCACCAACTTGTGTCGCGGGTGCTTGTTTAGATCGGGTGTGCACACCCGGGAACTTCCACTGCACCGGCGGGAAACAGTGCTTCTGTTCTCGAAGAGCCGAAATAGTTTGTACAGACGTGCCAGCGGCTTCCGGGTGTTGAGTTTTTTTCCTATTTGCTTTTTGAGTGAGATATTTGATAAAATTAAGGATGCATTGCAGATGTAGAATATATTGTCAGCATTAACACGCCGGTGTCTGTTTTCATTGGAACCAAGTGCAACTGCTGTTCACCCGTCGTTTTGAAGCGTTTGTAATGCTAAATAACCGGACGCTGGCAAAAGCATATGGAGCACTACGGAGTCCAAGGTCTCTAGTTATTCCGTCAATCAAAATAAATGTGTACACAGATTACAGTCTTCACAGATTAAAGTGGAGATACTAACCGTTCTGAAGAAGCTTGCTGTTTGCGGCGCATTAGTAGTTCTACTTTAGAATACAGAATGGGACTCAGAAATTACGAGCTGTTATCTAAAAATTGCTAATTACCATGGAAACGAAGGTAAAGATTATTACCCGCGGCTTTCTATTTTTCTTAGTGATTTCTATGCGCAGCTTGTGTGCTTACTTGCTTTAAATGAGAAACGTATTTTATTCTCGAGCATACAGCCGCATACACGAGCATACCCGACTTTTATCAGCTTGACATGTAGGCGGGGTGATTGGATGAGTGCCCTATCGAGTGCAGACAGCGCAGACCCCAACTTCGGCCAACCTTCCTGCAACACAAAGGTCACTTGTCGCGCAAATGACGCGTCATTACGAGGGGCCGCTGTCCGCATGGCAGATGGCTGCGCAAAGGTCACTGACTGCCCTTCCTAGCCGCGTACCACTCCGCGTCCACTTGTGCAGCGAGCAACATCATGGGTTGTCACCAACCGGTCTTCTTCGTCGTACTACTCTGTGTGGTCCAACTGCAGGCACTCGGTACGTTACCATCAATATTTCTTGCTTCCAAGCAGTTGTTCTCCAAATGCTTTTCGAATGCCTGATCAGTGGACAGTTCGTTTTAAACTGTGTAAACGATAGTCCATCCAGAGCCCTTTGGTATTGCATGATGGGTGAGCACATGCAGGCGGGGGGGGGGGGGGGGGGCAAGGAGAAGACAAATGTTTTAAGAACGTTTAGTACCATTGTTTCTGTCCATTTCTGGCATGATGCACCTCAGGGAGAGGGCAGTTTCCATGGTTCTCTGGCCAATAGTGACAACAGAATATGAAAACGCGACCCTCTGATCAGCGGCATCTTCTGCGAAAGAGGTGATGGTGCTTGCTTTACTTCCAGAGCCCGTCTCGGCGTTTAAAGGTGTCAAGTGTGTGAAGATATGCCCAAAGGGTCAGCAGTGTGAACTGCGTCGCCGGTGCCACCGTGGCTTCTGCCTCAGCTACCGCCAGATGTGCGTCAAGTCTTCAGCTCCCGTAGTGGAGCGTCCCCCCAGCTGTCAGGACATCCGCTGCGATGATCTGCAGACCTGCGTGCTGCGGCAGATCGCCTGCGTGCGCGCACCCTGCTACCCAGTGCCAGTGTGCATCCAGAACCAGTGTGCCCTCATGTTCTGCCGCGCTGGAACAACCTGTGTGACAACCGTGGTACCCGGCTCCAACCCGACCTGCTCCGACTTCCCTCGCTGCCGCTACTCTTTCAGCTGCCAGCCACGGGCCAAGCCCAAGCCCGGCTTCTGTCCGCCGCCGGAGCAGGTGTCCCAGGCCAACGTCAACCTCTGCCAGTACGACAACGACTGCGCATCCAACCTGCTCTGCTGTCCGGGCGCGTCCAGAGGGGGACGTAACTGCACCGCCCCCGCCTTCCCCGATCCGTGTGCTGGCTTCAAGTGCCCTCCTGCTCCAAACATCGTGGCGGGCACGTGTGCAGTGCGTGGCGGGAAGCCCGTTTGTCTGGATCGTGTGTGCCTACCGGGCAGCTTCTTCTGTAGGGATGGAAAACAGCTGTTCTGTTCTGATCAGGCTAACATCGTCCGTACAAATCTCCCAGCTCCTTCCAACTGCCCTGGTTAGTTTAAGGTGGAACTTTTGGCAACTGGAACTTGTGGCAATTATTCGGACATGGTGGCACTTCTTTATTCAAGGTTTGGAGACACCCCGCAATTAATCTCAAATCATTGCCTGTTCTCTGTGTATGTAGCATGTATTTGCTGCCTTCGTTCGTGTGTTGCCCATTCTCAGATTGCTTCAAAAGTTGATTGAGGACTTCAAAACTTAAAATATGGGTCGAGCAACGGGAAACGCCCTATTTGGAACGCTCGTTTGCCATGGATTGGACATCCCTTTTGACTTCCTTGCAACACAACGAGCTCAAAACGCGTGAACTATTTCGCCAATCGGTGAATATATATGAGCAATGCATTCTTCGCTGACAAGAAGAGATAGTGTATAGGTAATAACAATAACGAGAACTTCATTCGCAGAATGGCGCATACATCGTGCTCAGTACGCGGTCTTTTCGGATGCGTATCTTTTTTATCTTCTAAGAGCGTCACAACCGCTCTTCAGCGATGGTCTCCGGTTACACCCGACGCGTTTTTGCGCGCTGCGCTGCGACATCTTCGAAGCGTAGGAGTCCGGTTAACACAGTGTGTGGTGTCGAATAACGCTACGGGGTGTCGCCGTCTGTGACAGCCGCCTGCCCCTCCTCTCGAGCGACCTGGGAGTCACCTGCCGGATGGGGGGGGGGGGGAATAGCACGAAACCTAGGCTGGAGCAGACGTGGCGACATCGGCTACCCAACCCCGCTTGTCTCCGGCACCGTTGAGGCCGGCAGGACTCACGGGAGGGCATGGGATCGATGGAAAATGGAGGTGATGCGAACGACAGACCACAGCAGTTTATGCTGTAGTTTAGCACGTTCTTTGTTTGGCGCGTGTCTGACATTTTCGAAAGAATTTTACGAGTCGGTGCTCACAATTTACATATATTTCATAACATAACGAGCGCGCACATAACACTGATGGATGACTTTGCTGATGCAAAAGTAGCATAATGGGGATGTATTTTCGACCAGTAGAAGAGGTCATCAGTGGTCGAAAGTGCTAAAATGAAATCACAAAAAACATGTTTTGTTTAAAACTTGCACTGTATGCGTTGTATTGACTGAGGCCCAGCTTAAGTGCGTTGATGCCAGAAATTGTGCTGACGTACACGAGACACGGATAGCCCGATCATCAGGCATGTCCTTGGCCTTGACCATTACATGGCCAATGAGATGGTAGTATTCGTGTGGATTTTCCATGGGGACGTGCATGCCTGGTGACCTTGAAATAGTTAACACGAAATAGTTCGCACAAGTTCGCGGCTGTCAAGCATAGAAATCCCAGGGCTTACAGGGAATACTCCACGTTTGGAGTCATTGAATCAAGCATCAGATAAGCTGAAAAGCTTGCTTGTTACTATTGACACCCTTTTGAAGGGAATGCTACACAGTTGAAGACATCGGAGCAAGAATCAGATATGAAGAAGTAAGCCTACTTATAGCAGTTATTATACTTTTAAAGGGGGCGTTTCACATTTTATGGGGGCTTAAACAAAAAAGACATTGAAGATCATTCGACGCAGTTTACAGCCCTACCTAAGGCCTCCTGTTAAGCTGTACGCCTGCGAAGACGTGCAGCCTATTTCGGAGAGTCAATTTCAAGATAACTCGGCATTCGCGCAGCCAGACACTTGGCAAGGGCGGTGGGCACAGGGCTGACAAAGGACCGCTGATAGTGAGAAGGCCCCCTCACCCCCCCCCCCCCACCCCAAAAAAGAATTGTCAGCATGGCCATTTGTTACTGAGAGCATGATTTTCGTTTACGTTCTACTTTTCCTTGTATAACTTGAACAGAAGCCACAAGCTACCGCGAGGGGATTTCTGACTGAAATATATACTCCATAAACTTAAAAAATCATGCGTAAAACAACTGCATGAAATACATCGCCTGTGTTCCCCATTTTGCAATGGTCCAGTCGTCTCCTAAACCGATAGAGGTTTAGAAGGAACTATGAAGCTTGTTCATAACTGCGTTTTGTGTGTTGTTTTGAACACGCGCGCTAGCAGGTCTTAGAAAAAAGGCCCTGCAGGGGCGGTCCTGTGACTAATATAAAAGGCGTGGCCATTGGGCGGAGGAAAATTTTGACGCATATGAAAGACGTACTTCTGAATGCTTTAGGACATTAAATCGCACTTTTAGAAGGTCGTCCAGGCGCATATTTCACCTGCGCAATTTCTTAGCTTGGGGTCAATAATGCATTGGCATTTATCCCCGCCGCGAAGTGGCGCTGGCTTGGATCTGGTGATGTAACTGATACAGTCATCCTCAGTTTTTTCGTGTTGCTGTAACTGTTCATCTGTTCCGAGAACAACTTCAAAGCTAAAAAAACGCCCATTCGTTTCTGTGAACGGTGCGAATTAATTTTGAAACGCACTCGGGACCATCATTTTAAGACGGCCGTTCTCGCGCAGGGCGCGTGGTGTTACAGAGGCCAACGCCATATGGCTTTCCGGAAACTGTAACACAGACCACCGCTGCCCTTCCTCGCGAGATTTGGAGCGCGCAGGCTCAAAGCTTTTGGCGTAAGTTGCTCCACTAACTGATGATGCAAAAGAATGAACGTTTTCAGGCAAACATGGTATGACAATGTTGGTATTTAACCTCATGTCGCCAACTCTCTTCAATACTGATAGGACCCATTATTTCCGAGCAAGGGGTGTTTTGAGTAGAGCACTAAGGGGCACATTTTTGTTTCCGGTCAGGAGCTGGAGGGCCGTCGTACCGTGTCTTCCGCCCGCCATTCTGACGACACAGGGCGGGACCCCTGGTCGATCCGGAGGCCCTTAAAGGGATACATCATATCACATGGGTCTCTTCCTGACGCGGAAAGCCCTCGGGCTTCGGTTTAACGGGCTCCTGCGGGAACTGGGCTGGAGGGCCCTCCGTCCGGCACTGCGGGCCTCGACGGGCACAGGGCACTTCCATTGTCTCAACGTGAACACTCATCATAAGCTTTAATATTTTCTCCTTTTTGTCAGAGGGTCCCGTCCAACGCAAGAGGTCCTCTGTCATTCGAGATCCCGTCCCCGTCTATGTTGACCAAATGATCCCTTGACTGAACTGAGGCTTGACCGGCCCTTGCTGGCATAACACATCTTGTTAAGCACTGGGCCCCTGACCGTTGCAGAAGCCCAGCATTGTTGCAGCAGGCCCGGCCAATGCAAATCACCAACCTGGCCTTGTCCCTTCCAGGGAAATGGGCACCCAAAGTCCTATCTGTCTGTCTGTCGGTCTGTTCTGT